ATAGATTTGTTGTTAGAATAATCGATTAATCGAAAAAATAATCCTTAGATTAATCGATTAGAAAATCATTTGGTACAGCACTAGTCTCTTGTCGACTTGGTGTAGAAAAGTCCACTACCTAACTGCTGTCGTTTAGATTAAATCAAAATTTCTCTTGTTTTTGAACACACAGAGAACAAATTAAACGGGTGAAGGACTCTGAGGATGTCCCCATGGTGTTGGTTGGGAATAAGTGTGACCTGCCGACCCGGACGGTGGACACAAAGCAGGCTCAGGACTTAGCACGCAGCTACAACATTCCCTTTATCGAGACCTCAGCCAAAACGAGACAGGTGAGTGTCCACCCACCGCTTCCTTTGTACTGCTGCTCAAATTCAGCTTMATTACATATTTGTTTTTTTATTTTTTTATTTTTTTCCCCTCCAAAGAAATTCAGATCTGTGTAATTTCAGCAGATGTCCCTGGGAGGGATTAATGCATTTTGCAAGAAATATGATTATGTCATGTGGTCCTGTTGATTTGTGTCACTTCTGCTATCTCTAATGGTCTTTTTGTAATAATGTTGCTGGGAAATTTACCAGCTAATGTGCTGAGCTTCATTAAATCCTCTTTGGTTAATTGATTTTTTTTTATTTATGGGGGATAAAGTGATCATTGCATGCTACTTTGTCATGGTGTGTGAAATTACATCATCATTAGGCCCACCTGCAAAGGGTCCCACATAATAAATTATCACCAAATCAGTTAATTTGTGTCGAGGTGCTTGCATGAAAGGACAAACTGTCGGTAATTACTTAGCGGGTTAATGATTCTGCTTACTGGTCACTGTGACTGGGTGTTGGAAGGTTTGCTGTGGTGTCGCCTCCTGTGGTGTGTGTTGTGGGCATGGCCTTCAGAAACTGACTGATAGGCTGATCTATAAACACATTATTCCTTGTTTCTTATCTGTGGGAGGTGAATCACGGCTCTTTCTGGTGTGGGGAAATTAACGCCACAGTGACTAATTTCTTGCAGCTTTGTCCACCTATTCCTACCGGAGTGGACCGGTAATTTCTGTCCATGTGGTGCTAAACTGTCCCATCGAGCAACTGTCACTTTCATTGGAAACAAGTTGTCGTTTTTCAGATAATTTCTGTGGACCTGTATGGAAATTTTTTCACTTCTATTTCACCTCACACAAATAATACTGCAAATAAATGCGCTCCTCATGTATTGAACTCAGTTGAAATGATATTTCACTCAGTTATTCACCTGTTGCAGGCTTGGAAAGGGTTTATTGCATTACAAAAAAATGGCTTAGTATGAAGTGTCGGGTTGTTTTTATTGTTACAAAGTACAGATGTCTCTGACAGGTATGTAGAGCTAAAACCTTTGTGCTTTTCTGAAAATACATTTAAGTCTTCAGTGATGGAAACGTGGAAGTCTAACAACTTGTGATTTCTTTTAGAAGTATATAAACATTGGATTAAATTTCCTTCTGACACATTTTCAGTTCAACACAATTGGAAACATTTTCCATGTTTCTCCTGCTGTGAGCATAGATGCAACTTCTTCCCTCCTGATATTTTTCCTATTTCTTTAATTGGTTTTTGAATGATGAGGATTCAGAAAGCTTCCTCTTCTTACTGTTCTCTTTGTAAAGATCAGATTCTTTTTGCTATTTTAGTGATTTATTTTAGTTCTACAAAACACACTTGTTGCTTTTTTAGTGCTAAAATTGTAGCATTTTTTCCCCCTGGATTTTGTCCTCATCTTCTATCTTCCTCCAGCTTAAGCATCATGTGTAACAGTAGTAACTGTCCCTGTGAAACAAATGAACCACTAAGCAGTATAGTTGCATTACCTTTGCAATTTTTGACAGAGAAACAAGGCACAGAGGCTGAAGAGGAGAGAAAAAATAGAAAACAGTAGGGAGTCTCTTTGAAAAAAAAATAGTAGTGTGATGATGGAGTGGGCGAGTCACGTCATGGAAGAAAGCAAACTGCTCAGAACCTGTTATCTACAGATGAACGTCTTCCAACACCAGTTTCCTTTGGTGTGTGCTGCAAACAGGTCTTCAGATCAGGTTTTCTATTATAAGTTGCATCTCTAATCTGAGAAATAAAGGTTAATKTATGAGAAGCCCTTTAAAATGTCTAAACTACATGCACAAAGAGGATGATCTAATACTGTGTTCTGAGGTGTAATTTGAGGAAACGTTCTCCTTTTAAGAGGAAACTGATACTTTCCAAGCCTGCAAAGTGAATGTTTAGTCTTTCTTTTAAACTGAATGCTCTCAGTGAGTACATAACGGACACTACACATTACCAGACGACTCATCTTGAAATGAACTACTCTTAAGCTCTTTGTGTATCTGTAGACTATAACGCATGCACCCATACAGCATTGAGGAAAGTTGTGTCTTATACTGCAGAGAGTGGAAGATGCCTTTTACAATCTGGTACGGGAGATCAGGCAGTACCGGCTCAGTAAGATCAGCAAGGAAGAAAAGACTCCAGGCTGTGTCAAGCTTAAAAAGTGTGTTGTGATGTGAGAGGGGTAAGTGTACGCTGCCGCGCATCCACCAGCTCTCTTTGTGTTGTTAGTGGGGCATCTGGAAAAAGCTGTGGAAGAAGACGACCAGTGGGAGCTGGAGCTTTTTAAATGTTCTCATAGCTAACCTGCTGGTTTCTACAAGGGCTGTGGTGAGGCTCTAACATGAGGCTGAAATGTTTTCTTCTTTCAGTGTTTCTGAGTATCTTTGATTATGATCCGAGGCCATTTTCACACTGAATTCATTTATTGAGTCTGAACAACTTTGATTGACCTCGGCTGGGGGGGCTGGGGGAGGGGGGCTTTCAGACAACTTCTTAAATCTCCCATTCCTCATGATGGTGGATGGGTAAAACTCTTATCAAATGTTTTTATTCAGACTTTGTAACATAACCTTTGGTCTGTACTTCTGTATTAAAATGCATTCTTATGGTCAAAGTTGAGGATTAACTATAACCAAATTGAGACTGAACCATCGGTGTGAAAGTGACCAACAGGCTGAAATTAACACGAGTTTGGGTCAGAGGGTCTGGGCTGGTTAATCATCATGTGTGATTTAAAGGATGTTTTTGTAAATGTGGGTCTAAATCATGCTGAAATGTGTTTTCAACAACAATTGTTTATGTCTTTGTAACTGAATTTGCATCACGTTGTTTCCTCAACAGCTCTTTGCAGATTATTTTCACTTTACACTTCATCCACCAATGAAGGACTTGTACAGTTGTGACGGTGTCACATCAACACGGGGCTAGCTGCATTGCCATTAAGCCTGTTTTTACTTCTGTGATTTAAAGAAAAGACTCATCTTCTCCATTTCTTTTATGGAGACACGTATTTTAGTATTTTTATTTTTACCAGGAAGGTCCCATTGAGATGAACCATCCCCTCCTCTAGGGAGTTCTGGTCATGATGTGGCCGTTTTTTTTTTAGTTTAGTTCTACATAAAAGCTTAATAACTAAAATCTCAAGTGTCACTCTTGTCGCTCATTAAACGTTTCTACCACTTGTCTGAGTGATGCATATTTGTAAAACTGTTAACCTCAGTAAATTTGGGCATRAACTTTTCATTCTTTGGGTTGCTCAAAGATGATTTAAAAAATCAAACAAGTTTTTGAGCTATTTGTCATACAAAAGAAGAGAAAAAAGGGCTTATGTAACTGCAGCTACATCTGTGTTAGACACTGATGTATTTATTCTCTGAAATGCATATTTAATTTGCATCGTACAGCATTGTCCCTCGAAGCCTTCAGTGGATCCATGTGTCATTGTCTGGCTGGTAAAGGTTGTATTTTTCTGGCCTGTGATTGGAAGAGACAAYTAGAGAATATGAATATTTCAGTGCAGATTCTCTGAGTGTCTGTGACCAAATGACCAGTGAACCAATCAGCCACTGTTTGTGCTGTTACTTTTTAAACTTTTTATCTTCACGACCAGCAAAACWGCATACCAGGCTGTGCACATTATTTTGTTGCCCACCTTTGCCTCCATCTTACCTGTCTCGGTCTGCTTTCTACCCAACCTGGCAGCAACACCCGTGTTTATGATTTAAACCACTTGGAATTTACTCTTAAAGTGAAAAATAGGCTAATTGGGACCAAATTTTTAACCATTATTGGTATGTAGTTTGTAGATCTGAATTTTCAGGTGTCAAACAACACACTGGAGACGTGTTTGTAAAACTCATGACAAAATTCTTTAGTTGTTTAGCGACTTTATTTCCCAGTTAATTTTGAAAATGTTGACTGATAGGATTGCAGAAACTAGGAATTTTAGAACCCCACAAACATTTGAGACATTTWACAGTTCTCCTGAACATTATACATGTAGATAATTTTTTCTCTTTTTCTCTGGAGTTTTAAGTTAAAGGAATAGTTCTGATATTTTGAAAGGTGGTCTGTGAAAACATTATGAACACCTAAGGTCTTACCTGTTGTAGAAACCTCATTGAATGACCTCAGCTTGAAAAATATTTTAATTCTGACCAAATTGGAACAAACTCAATGAGGCCAAGACCACATTAATTAGCTAGTTAGCTTGTCAATCTGATCAGATTTAAACTGTCTTTAAACTAACGTCGCTTAAAGAGCTATCTACACCAGGTATTATACTTACTCTTCATAATCCTTTAAGAAAACCCCACTTGATTTGATTTATTTAACAGGAAAAGATTATTAAAAATCAAGCCAGACTCAGCATAATTGCTGTTTTACAG